CTGTCACAAAACATGACACCACAGCATGCACTAGAAGAGCAACCAGGTAAATGTTAAGGCATAGTTGCAAATATATATGTATGTCCGTGAGAGATAAAGCAAGTACATATTTCTTTTAAGTGGGGGATGGGAAAGAAATGCCCCACAAAATCAGGGGCATCACAAGGAGAAGTTAGGAAAGTTGCTAGGCCCAATATAACCATAGTGGTTAACAAAGACATGGTGGGCTACAGTCAGTGGGCTAGCTATTTCTTGGAAAAAGAAACTATAAGCTATTTCACAACAGAAGAAAAATCCTTTATATCCAAAAGCAATCTTGTGTTTATGCTTGCCTAAAGGGAAGAGTCAGCAATCAGCCAGTTGGAAATGGTTTCCTTAGAGACAGTCGAACCTGCTGAATTTGAGCCAGACCAAGAAAGAGACGGTAAGATTTCTCATGTCTTGGCTCACTCCTAGAGCAATGTTTTGTCATAAAATTTGTGGAGATGGCCTTTGCTGGAATGGGCAAGCAAGTGCGAAAGAAATATCATGAGCTCATATCACCTTCCTCGGAAGGACTGCAGAAGTGCCCAGAGGACTGATTTAGCTTTGCAGAATGTTCTGTAAGAGAGTGAGTAGATAAGTCTTCGTAGCCTGGAGCAGACACAGTATTTCTGCACCTCACTGTTAAATGCTTCAGACATCGCAAGCTAAAATTACTGCTAGAAGAAGCAGAAGACTTTTGCAACAAATAAAATGGTGACATCCAACTCCTGAGACTGTTTCACTCTAAACTCCATCTTTGTTCTCAAAAGGAGAAAAACATGAAGGACCACACTGTCCACAAGGAACCTGCTTTTTGGTGCGGAGGGATGTGTTCCTGTGCACATGGTTTCTACCAGTGCATCTCACAGGGTTCCCATCCTCCCAATATAGAATCATTCCCTTCATAAACACCTTAGTTGTCATACTGATAGGAAGAATCAAAAATACCTGATATTAACCAACATGCTGGTAAGAATTTGAGGGCTAAGGACTATGCTGAGAACCAAATGAACCCGAGACCAGATTCTCTCAGCACAGCACAAATAGATCGCTTTAAATTATCCTTTATCTTTGGGTGAGAGTCAAGAAACCAGAAATTATTTTTCCACATTCTGGATCAGTCCTAGCTATCTTGGAAGGATAAAGAAAAACAACAGTAAGAGACCCAAGAAACAAAACCATAAACAATTACAAGACCCAGAATATTAAAAAGTGATACTGCATTACACACACACACACACACACACACACACACACCATTTCCCCTCCCCCTCTCTCTCCATTTATATTCAACAGAGAGGGCAGTTGAGATGAGAAATGGAATTATGAAAATCTGAACATGTGCCTCCATTCACTTTCTTCATGCGATCTTTAAATAGATATTTGGGCATTATTTTGTTCCATGTGAGTATGTCAAGGCAGAACTTTTGCTCTAAGAAGCTTACAATCCATTACTCAACATGGTACCACATATTCCAGGAGACAAAGGAGAAGCAAGGGAGAAAGAACAGGCCCATATACCGTAATCAGAGCGACAACAGAGGTGAATAGTTTTGGCTGCAGAATACTGGATATTGGTTAGGGGACTGAGGTAGGGCAATGGAAGACTAGAGAAAAGGTTGCAGTAACTGGGATGAGAGTTAATTTTAAAAAGAGTTTGCAACATTACTGATTCTATCAGTTATTTCAATTAAGTTTAATGAAGACTCAAAGCCAACATCCTGGAAAGAGCAATATTAACCTAAACACACATTTTAGTTATTGACAAACCTAGTCATTCACCACCTGCGTTTTAGCTTTAGGCAGAGGTGTTTAGGGTTTTTTAGAACCATGATCACAGTCTGGTCACCAAAAGGTTATGTATATTTCCCCCTTACAATCTAGTGGTATATGAATTTTGTGAAATAAACAAACAAATAAATGGCACTCCCTGCTCTGGTGGGATCATGAGTAGGATCTCCTCTCTCAATCTCACTGCATGGACTTATCAGAATTCAGGTTCACTGATTCCTGTCCACTGATCCTCATCTAGCTAATCACTGCTTCTAGTCACTGTCACTGTCACTGGCACTGGCACAGCACCTGCACAGCCACTCCTGCTTCAGGTGGATTGGAGAGACAGAACAAGAAATAACGCCAAAAGTAAATAAAACACCACAATTAGAGGCATGCAGACACAGCTAAAACAAGCAGAGAAGACGAACAGTAAATCAGCTTAAAAATGCCTGGACAAATAAATAAGTTTTGACAGAACACCGAAATGATTGTAACATTGCTAGCAGGGACAGGGAGGAAATTCCAAAGATGAAGTGCCACCAAAGAGCAAGAGTCTTTTTTTCCTCCTTTGTTGCTACATAATTAACTTCCCCTGGACATGGAGAAGAGCCTCCTATGAACTTCTTAAGACTTGGGCAGGTTGCTGCAGGTATTTTGAGTCCCAAGCTGTTCAGGACTTTAAAAGGTAAGCCCCAGCAGTCTGAAATGAACAGTGTAAAGATAAGCTGATCACGCTTCAGTGTTAAGCACCTCTGCTTCCTTCTGCATATGGTCCTGAACAAATTTATCACTATCTGAATGCCAGTGTGGTGTAGTAGCTAGAGTAATGACTAGGACCTGGGAGACCAGGGTTCAAATGCTCAGCCAGGGAGCATGCTGGGTGACCCTGAAGCAGGCACTGTCACTGGGGTGGAGAACCATGCGTGCCACCTTGAGCTCCTTGAAGGGAAAGGTGGGATATAAATGTAATAAAATTTAATGGAATTAACACAGTGGAAAACAGTGTCTTTTAAATGCCATATGGAAATTTCACTATTCAGCTACTGGTTAAAAGTGATGAAAACTTACATTTAAAAGTGCTACATTTCTTTTACGAGCTGCATCAGCTTCTTGTATTTGCCATGTCTTCTCAGCTTCTTTGTCTCCTAGATGACTCTCCATCTGCTGAAGCAATACCATTCTCTGAGACAGTCTACAAAAGGGAAACATTCTGATAAGTGGGCAGACCATTCTTTCTGCACAACAGCAAGAAAAACAGCCACCTTTTACCCTCACCCATTTCTTCTCCAATTATGTTGAATACAGCGTGGGTGCACTGAAGGAGGGGGGAAAGCACAGGAAGTCCCTTACGTGATGTGCTCCTGTGGAGAAAGCAACCATCATGTTGTACAACAAGCAGGCTCTGTGAACAAATGAGACACCCAGCACTGAACACCGCCGAAGAGACGTGTGTAAAGCAGAGTTGGGAATAATAACTAACTGTACCATTAGTAATAATATGGGTTAACTGGGTTCTGCTATTGTACATAGCCCATGTTCATATGCAAAAGGAAGGCTGTCATTTAAAGGAATATCCACTTATCTTCCTCAGAATCAAGATTTGTAAATAATCAGGTATGCTTTTCCTTAAATATATTATCTTTACAATATTCTCTTCTACAGTCCCCTCCCCCCAAAGTTCCACTTCATTTCCAACTGTACAATAAGGTTCTTTCTAAACCCCAAACTAATCAATAGGCTTCAGATCAAAGGCTCTCTGGCTGTTTTTTCCCTACCTGCGGATAAGGATAATTCTGCATCCTTGGCTATAATCTCCCACAGAGCAACCAGTAGTGGAAGATTTGATGATCAGGAACAGAGAAATGGATTGGTGACAAACTTGATGATGGTATGGTGTATGCCTGCCTGGTGTGAAGGTTGCAAACATCATGCATTGTCCTGATAAGGTCAATCACTAGTTTTGGTACATGCTAGCACCAGGGGTGATAGGAAATATTGACATGAGGCCGTGGAAGCCAAATTTAGACTCCTAGGTAACATGTTCAAGTTCAGGGCCTGCATGGTAGAATGCTACCTGATTTATATGCTGGGCCTGCAGACAGGGTTGTGGGATCTCAATGCATGGTTAAGGTGGCTAATGGGAGGAATGCTTTAAATTGTTTGTGCATTGTAAAACTTTTGGGGTAAGTCACATTTGTACAAAAAGAGACAGGCCCCTCTTGAACCAGAATGGAAGCAAATTTCAGGAGCCTATCAAAAAGGTTGCAGAGCAGCTTTAAAAATACTTTGATGGGGAAAGCCAACAAAAGCTGTGATGCATCTGCTTTGGGATTACACATCATAAGGATGAAAGTGTAAATCTTTCAGAACGTCATAATGGTGGTAGGGTCTTAGGCAGAAGTCTCTCCCTCCCTTTACCTGCTACATTATCCATTTTTTCAGCTGTTGATACCAGGATTGAACCTAGAATTTTCTTCATTCAAAGCATAAGCTCTACAGCTGAGCTGTGAACCCTGTCCTAAAGCAGGAGTTGGAACCGGTAGTGCTTTACATGTTGCTGGACAACACCTCCCATCATCCTTGACCATTGGCTATGGTGGCTGGAGCTGATGGAATCTAATATGTGGAGATCCACAGGCCCTACACCACTGCCCTAAAGCTCAGAAAGTATTTCTTTTGAAGAAGAAAATATCAGTAAATATCACTTACATTCAATTTCCTGTGAACCATTCTAAGACTCCATATGTCAAATAACATTGCCTCGGTGATTATTTCTTTTCTTAATTAATTCAGTCTAGTCCTATTAAGTCTCCACTTCTTATTACACCCACCACTATTTGTATTGCCCTTGTTGTACTTTGCAAGATTTGCTTTTTCCTCTCTGAGAAGTGATAGTCAGAAATGCATATAAGAGTTTTCACAGATTTTGGTACTAAGCTTATGACAACTTTCATACTCTTTTTACCCTTTCCTAAATTCTCCCTGCCGTTTCAGCTGCTGAAGCACAATGAGGCAGTGTCAAGCTTGTCAGTGATTCTCATACCACAGAAACAGAAGTTCTGCTATATTATATGGCAGGCATTCCCAAACTGGACCCTCCAGCTGTTTTGGGACTACAACTCCCATCATCCCTAGCTAACAGGACCAGTGGCCAGGGATGATGGGAGTTGTAGTCCCAAAAACAGCTGGAGGGTTGAGTTTGGGGATGCCTTTTATATGGGGTTGCTTTTTTAAAGACAAAATGATAATCATATAGAAGAATAAGTCTTGTTGAGGAGAACCAGCATGGCTTCTAAAAAAATGGCTTGACTAGACTTTTGGAGTTCTTTGAGAGTGTTGCAAAGCACGTATATAAGGGTTATCTAGAATACATTATATATTTAATCTTCCAATAATATTTTGATTAAGTCCTTCAACCAAAGGCTCCTCTGTAAACTTAATAGACACAGGACAAGAGGATGGATCAACAGCTGGTTAAATAAGAGGAAGCGGAGATCAGGAATAAATTGCCATTTCTCACAATGGAGGGATGTGAATAGTGAGGAACACCCCCCACGGAGCAGTATTGAGAACTGTGCTTTATACCTTGTTCATAAATGATCTGAACTTAGGAGCAAGCAGTGAGCCAGTAAAGTTTACAGACATACCAAATTACTGAGGGTGCTGAAAACAAAACAGGAATGTGAAGAGCTCCAAAAAGATCTTTCCAAACTGAGCAAATGGGCATTAAATTAACATACGAGGGTCAAACAAGAAGTTAGTTACTAACAAAACGGAGAAACTAAAGTTTTAAAGCAAACTGTTTCTGCCTTCTTCAGTTGCTCTCCCTTCTTAGGTTACCTTCAAGACCAGAATGACTAGCAGAAACTTATATCAAATAAAATATCATTTGAAGGTCCTATAATGTAATTTACACCACTAGCTGCAACCAGGTTGTCATGTTCAGTACTTGTGTAAAATAACAATGGGTCTAAGCACGTTTTTGGAACCATAAATCCACAATCGGTTAAAAAGCACTTCAATTCAGATGATCACAGCCTCTCTGATGCATCAGTCATTGAAATAAAGATGCCATCAGATCCAGAAACACTGGAAATAGGGAAGCTCCCCAGTAAGGAATGTCACCTTAATTAACACCACATTGTCTTAACCTAGGTTCAGCAAATGCCACACCTGAATAATCTGTACCTAGCACCTTGGCCCACAGCATCTTTTGATTCACATCAGAGCAGCTGGAAGGTGGAGCTGGAAGATTTTTGTTTTGTCACAATTTTAAAAAGCATTACAATTCACAATTTTACATTTCACTTTTTGAATGAAAGAACTTAATTATTCAAAGCATAGTAAAACATTGTTATTAATTCAAACATAAATGTTTTATGTTTTAGTGATATATATCCTGAAATTTTAGTTTCAATATGAAGAAAAAATACTGGACTGAAATGAGGCCTCAGACTGAATTTAAGAAGGCTGAATCCAATTGCTCAGGTTTAGCTAGAATTTAAGTAGAATATTCAATATTAATAGTCAGGGTTTCACTTAGCATTTTTCATCAGAGGAGCAGCACTGGCATCACAGCACCCCCTTGAGGCAATCTTTTTAGTTTTCTATTGTTACAACTTCCAAGAAGCTCAGTTGGGGAAAAATGATATTGGTCTAAGAGACAAGTTACTTTTTCTGGAGTATTTACATAGTAGCAAAAGTCTTCCATACAGAAAAAAGCCCAATTACCCTTAGCCTGGTAAATAACATCACAAACTGGTATAAATGTAAAAAAGCCTAGGAAATTACTTCAGATTCTTAGCCACACGTGTCAAACTTTTTGGTGTTTTTTCTCTTTCTCCTAACTCCTAAGAGGCAGGATTTTGTCTGAAATAAATACTTACATTTCTTCATGTCTTTTAGCAAGTTGAACTTCTTGTGCTAAATAGGATGCCATCTTTAGTCATATGACTAATGCCTCAGTTTTACCACTCTGTCAAAGAAGAAAAAGTAGCTAAAATTGTTTATTTAAATATACAGAGAGATACTTCTAGGGAAATCTATTAAATTGCAGTGATAAATCTAAATATAACACAGAATTAGTGGCTACATAACTGCCTTTTAAAAAGTGAAGTCTGATTCATGAACATTCTCAGGATCATAATATTGCCTGGGTGTATGGGGTGTTAGGGGAGGGTTAGCTCCTCTGGTGGAGGACACGTTAAGGTCCTTCTCAGGTATTTTGTCCACCTCTGGTCCCCACCCTACATTCAGCTCTCACCTGTTGGCTCCTAGAAGCTGTCAGCATGCGACTGCAACCACACCCTGGGAACAGATGTTTCAGATGTTGGAATGGGCACAAAGTTTACTATTAACAATTTTGTGGAACAGACACCCCATGAGAAGAGGTTGACTCTCATTCCTTTGATGTTTTAAAGCAGAGGTTGGATGGTCATCTGTCATGTATGATCTGGTTGAGATTCCTGCATTACAGGGGGTTGGACTAGATGACCCTTAGGTCTCTTCCAAGTCTACTATTCTCTGTTTCTATGATAATATGGTGCTCAACTCTCCTCACAACCACATCATTATATTTAATGTTTCACATCCTATGTTCTCTCCCAGGTGCACAACAGGAAAATAGAGCTTTGTCCTTGAGTAAATGAGGAATTTGAACCTGGGCCTTTCTGATCCAAGTGCAGCATTCTAGGCATTGTCCCACAATGTTTCCTTTTTGAAAACTGTGCACTCTTCCACAACGTAACTCCTGGGCAGAAACACTCATACAGCCTTTGCTTGTTTGTTTGAAAGGCGAACATCAATAAGTGTTCCTTGTTCAGGTAGTGGTAGCTTTTATGGGAAGGATGTTTAGGTAGCTCTTATGAATCCCTAAAAACAAACACATCTGAAACTGGGCATTAACCCAAGCTTTGCTCTTTTGCAACTTACTTCAATCCCACTCACAATGTATAGACAAGACTTTTTAAAATGCACCTTTCATTTTTAGAGAAGCTGCTTTCTCTCCTCATTCCCTTTTTGAGGTTTGGGGGTGGGCAAAAATAAAAAGAGAAGCACAGATGTTACCTCCACAGCAAGATATCCTCCTTGTTATATATGAACATAATATTATGGAAGTTCTGCAGAAAATCTGAAACACACTTGGGACATGCACCCCAATCCAACTGTAACTACATTTAAAAAAAAGGAATTTACATATGATTAGTTGCACCCGAACAAAGATAGGCATGCACATTCATATGTACTTCCTATCAAATCAATGCAGCACAGATAAGAGCATTCATATTGATGTACATTCTGACAAACAAGAATCTGTATTGCTTTGTCTGTGGCATGGCAGAAGCAGAGGAGGGGCACCCCAGGAACTCTTTTACAAAACCCATAGTTTGTTTTAAACTGTGCTTGAATGTGACACGTGGACCAGGTGACTATTAGTTAATAATGCATGGTTCCTCAGATATATATGCTGTGCATTTTTTTAAAAAAAGTGTCTTAATTTAATGGTGTTATTTCATAACATAGTTAACCTGAGATGTCTCTATTCTGAACAGCAGACTCAACACACAGTCATTTATCAGATTTTTTTTTAAAAAAACTGTATTTACTTTGGAGAAGCAAAGAAAGCATGTCAACATCACTTTGCTGCATGCCTGAACATGTTGAGTTCATTTGGGTATGTACATGAGTGTGGCAATGTTAATGTCATGCACATGCTTGAATGCACTTAAACTATTTCAGTGCAAGTCATTCAATCCTGGAGCAGTTTAGGTAATTCTAGAGCATGCCTGAATATAGCAGAAGACTTTTTCTGATCCTTTGTCCTTTCTGCCTCAGTTTATGAGACTAGATCATAACATAGAATGTTGGCATGGAGCATATAACCACCAGCTGAAGAAACCATCAACAGCTCCATCAACCATCAGCCCCATATTCTCTGGAACAACTTAAGGCCTGTATGTCCTGAAGGAAAGCAGAAGTGAGGAAATCCAGGCCAGGGAGCTGGTGGCATCAGCTCCTGAAGTCAGCCTCACAATATCTATTCAGAATATTTGTACCATTCGTTAATATTTTAAATTTTAATTGGATGCCTTGGCAGAAAGACAGTACAGAATTGCAACAAATGAATAAATAATATATTAATAGTGATCTTAGTTTCCTTACATAGTCAAAGTAGCACCATCTACACACAAGGTGAAGTTATAAGTAGGCTTGGGGGAACCCAAAGGTTTACTGAATGAATGAATGACAAGGGGGGACTCCCGGGGGAGGGGAGAAACCCTAAAGCAGTCAAAAATGAGGTCTGAGTATGTAATGCTGACTGACCTGTTTTTCTTTGGTGAGGGAAAAGGGGAAATGAATTGTATGAGAGAGAAAATAAAAGCACACCACAATGCAACATTTTGTTGTAGGTTCCACTTTCTTCTCTGATGTTTAGAGACCTATCTCGCACGAAATGTGGATGTTAATTTTTATGCTCCCAGTCTTGTCAAAATGGGGCTTTAGAGCTCACTCACTTTCATTGGTTAAGGAGACATTCCAACAGCAATTTCTCCAGCGCAGCCCCTCCTCGTGCTCCCTTCTCTCTTTCCCACTGTAATGGGCAAGAACTGAGGATAGAGGAGGAATGCAGATGTAAAGTACATCACCAGCAAAGTTCTCACTCCAACTTAGGCTTAGGATATATATTAATGTTTGACTTAACTAGCTGGATATAACATTTATACGCACAGAGACAAAGAAACCTACCAAGATGTATTCACCACCCTGTTGTGAACAGTCACTGTGCTACTCTTGTAACACTTCTGAGCTTTGCACAGGGATGGTAAGCCTGAACCTCTTGCACTGCATGGCCTTTTGGCTTATTTACAACCTTGTGCTGTTATGAAAGCAGATGCTGCTGCTGCAACCTTGCTGACGCTAAGCATGTCTGTGTCTGGTAAGGTAAAGGGACCCCTGACCATTAGGTCCAGTCGTGACCGGCTCTAGGGTTGCGGTGCTCATCTCGCTTTATTGGCTGAGGGAGCCAGTGTACAGCTTCCAGGTCATGTGGCCAGCATGACTAAGCTGCTTCTGGTGAACCAGAGCAGCGCACGGAAACGCTGTTTACCTTCCCGCCGGAGCGGTACCTATTTATCTACTTGCACTTTGACATGCTTTCGAACTGCTAGGTTGGCAGGAGCAGGGACCGAGCAATGGGAGCTCACCCCATCGCGGGGATTTGAACCGCCGACCTTCTGATCGGCAAGTCCTAGGCTCTGTGGTTTAACCCCACAGAGCCACCCACAATTTATACCAAAGCCATACACATGATATATGTGTACCTTCCAGATGTTTGGCGCTCCAGTTCCCATCAACCCTGGCCAGTGCAGCTAGTGGCCAAGGATGATGGGAGCCGGGAGTCTCAAAACTCCTGGAGGGCACCACGTTGGCTATCTCTGCAATGCAATGCAGCACACAGCAGTCCTCAGGCAATGCACCTTGGGAGCTGAGTCAACGACCCTTGATATGAGAGCAAGGGTTGCATGCGTGTCCCTGGAGCTCCTTGAAATCCTTGCTCCATCGAACTTTGGTTCCTTCACCACCCCTGCCTCAGAAATCTGAACTGCGTCCTTTCAACTCCCGCCCTTTCAAGCTCTGTGCGGAGAATGCACCATTATGCGAGCGGAGGGGTGAAGAGAATGTTCATTCCAGGAGGAATGAACTACAGTACCAGAGAGGGAATGGGGAGGGGGGCTGGAGGAGGAGGAAGGGAGTGGGGACCAGGGCGGAAGAACCCAAGCATGGGAGCTTGGAGGGGGGAGCTTGTGGACAGTACCACTAAATGAAGGAAAGAGGGGTCATATCTAACAAAGTGAGCAATGAGACCGTACCACAGCGTGAAGCGTAAAAAAAAAGCCTTAAGAAAGCTGTGAGGTGAAAGGAAGCTACCTCCATCGCGACCCGAATACAGCTAGCCGCAATCTTTTCCTCTCCCTCTCTCTTAACTTTTCTTCTCAGTCCATTGCTGCCGTTAGGAGACGCCCAACAACCGTTCCGCTCGACTAGCTGTTATCGCGATACCATTAAAAAAAAAGCGAGCGCGGGAGGGGGAGCAGTAAAAGAGGGCGACGGTTTGAAACCGTTTGATTGGCCGTCTTCCTCTGAAAAGGGCGCGGCTACGCAAGTAGTGCACAGAACTGGCCCTTTCCCGCACTCGGCGCGTGGTCGCTGTCGTAAGCGGACGAAGAAAGGGGGCGGAGCAAGTCGTTAGCGGCTGTGGGGAAGAAAACCGTTGGGGAAACCAGGGTGGGAGGAGGGGCAGGTTACTCTGAGGTGATGGAGGAGGAGGAGGTTGCTTTCCCCCGCTCTGTTTTCTTCTTTCTCCTTCGGTGAGAGAACCCAGTACGTCAGGTTTCTTGCTTAGGAGGCAAAAAAAAAAAAGGTGTCGAAAAGGTGTGTTTACCATATGTAATGGTACTTTATAGCTCAATATTTTCTTTTATAAGTTTCATATAAATTCCACTCGTCCCCCAACCAAGAATTGCCATTTACACTTCTCCATCTCTAGTCTTGGGTCTCTCTTTTCTTGCCCAACAGAATCAGCAGCTTATTGGGACATACGTCTGAGTAGATATACTTATGTTTGTGCTTAAAAACTGCCAACCTCATAAGTAAGCAACAAGTGCAACCTTATGCAGGTCTAGTCAGGAGCAAGTCCCACTGTGTTCAGTGTGATTTACTCCCTCATAAGTGATGTGGGAAGGCATTTCTCCCCCTGCTGTTCACAATTTATAGCATGTTAAATACTTTATAAACATGCCAACTCAAACTACCCTATAGGTAGGATCCTGCTGAATTGTTACATCTTGGGGGTCAAGTGAAATCTCTGGTCAGCAAGTGGCAGGGATTGATGGACCAAAGTTTGTACCACTCACTTTTACAACTTTGCCACTTGTGCCAGCCAGGGTGGAGGGAAAACTCTGGTGCTGTGCTGGTGCAGTGAAGAGGATGGCTACTTCTGACAGGGGAGGTGATGGTATCTTCCACCTGCCCAATGTTTGTGCTTGCCCACAGAGCTTTCCCTCCAATGACAGAGTCAGACAAAGCTGTGCAGAAGGACACCTCTAGCGTTGCAGATCAGGTGTTTGGGCTACTGTTTTACTGGTTTGACTTGTAAGCTGCTCTACCAATCCCTAGCCGCAGTTAGATCTGGTGCTTCAATAATATCATTATCAGAGATATGATTGCTCCTAAAAGGGAATAAGAAATGACTTCTCATGTCTTTCCCTCCTTTAGCAGTATGACATTCTTGCCTCCAGGCCAAAAACGGTGGAATATTCCTGACTGTGCTTTCATGCAGTAATGGCAAATAAGCTTTAAATAACTCATTAAAGCACAGTTTAAGCTACTGCCATAACAAAAGACACATTGATCAAGTAGAAATGAAAGGAATGCCACTCAGCACTTTGGCATACCATCTGCTGATATTTGGCTGGCTACCTTATAAAGTAATATTGTTAGGATTAATGGGGGGGGGATCTGAAGATGACTTACACATTGTTTTATCCATGGTGGATAACCTCTTGGAAGCATCATTGTGGGAAATAGGCTCAAATTCTGCAGTTGGAATTGTCACTATAGGTGGGTGCTCTATTTGAGAGACCATGACCTTTTTTATTTGTGGCTTAACAAGTTAGTTACCGTACATGTTCTACACTGAAAGTTTACATGTATTCTGTTCATTCATGAATAGAGGAACTTCATTAGCAGGGATGGAAAACCAAGGTGGTATGTGGCTCTCCAGACCTTTCTATCTTCTCAAACTCTTCTCCAGGCCACATCCCACACTAGATTTGCACATTCCTTGAGTTTTTTTTGCTGCACTGCAATGTGTCCTTGAACTTTGATTCTTGCTTGCCTGAATGGAGGATTGAGGTGGGTGGGTGTGGGTGTAGAAACTACATACTGTGCAAAGGTAAAATTCATATTCTTTGCTGTGCCCACTTTTGTCTCTGGCTTCAGCCACAGTTGGCAAATCCTGGAAGGTTGCCTAAAAGGGAATGTCTGCTCTTTTGGAGGTCAAGGATGAACTAACCAGAAACATCATTCCCCCTTTGCCTCCAAGCAGTGGCCACAACAGCAGCTGACCAACAGCTGAAGCAATGCGCATGGCCCTATGCATCAGACCTGGTAGTAGGACCTTCTTTGTTTGGGCTCATAAAGTTGGTGCAGGTGTGGGCTGTTGCTGGGTCATCACCAAAGGGACACAGAGCAGGGGCAAGAGCTGATGAATTTTGGTTGATCATGTTTGTGGCCTGATACACATTTTAGACCTTTACTGTAAAGCAGGGGTGAATAACTGATGGACATATATATGACCTCAGAGGCAGGAAAGGTGGGCATGGTATGCCCCAAATTACCTGATAGGCCTATCTCTGATACCTGGTGGGCTTAATTAGGCCTGCAGGCAGGAGGATCCTTGTCCCTGTCCTACAGGGCATGTGGTAGCAATTTTTTAAAAAAACAAATCATTAGATTTTAAAAATATAGAGCATTGGCCTCTATTTAAAAATAGAGAACAATTGAAGAGCATTGACCTCCAAAATATTATAAACTGGAAATTGCCTCACTGACATAACTACAGCTTTAATGTCTTATGAAAAGACATTTGTTAATTTTAACACTAGGTGGCAGTTAAACACAACTAACAAAGTCAGAAATTGCTTAAAAATAATCACAGCACAATTTTTTAAAAACATTCTCATCCAGCTTGCTATTAATTATATTCCCCAAAAGATTGTCATGGACTGATATTATCAGATATATACAAATAATTACAGGAAAGTAAAATGAAATCCTTAAGTATACAATGTGCAATATATTATTTTGGATAGTAATATGGCACCTACTCCTTTTTATGTTGGTAATATTTTAGCTTGTCATTTTTACTAGCATTTAGCACAGAGCATTTTATTGTTATGTGCTTTCATTTATCAATGCCAATTGGTGCCATATGCCACTTTAAAAAAACAAAAGGGCTTCTAATAGGTTTGTTTTGTAGAGTGAGTTCTGAGTTGGTCTCCAATAAATTGAAACAAAAGGCATCTCATTTTCAAGGAGTATCAGTTAAACCACTAATGTACAGAACTGAAAATATTATATATGCCCTTGGCAACTTCATGTTTCAGCCACTTGTATGTATAATCTAATGAATGGTCTGAGAGTACATGGTTTTTGTATGACTGTTGAACCTAAGCACAGGAAATCATTGGAAGTTGCTTTGAGTTTCCTAAGGAAGGTATGTGTGTCTATTTGGCATGCCTTCCTAGCCATTATTTCTTCCTTCCCAGCAACTATTTAACTGTTTCTGCTTCTCCTTCTTATATAAGCAGCACTAAGTATAATCAATAAATAAGTACAATAAATATTGAAATGGGTTGACCCCTGAAGGCATACTCTTCCATTGTCTCCCTAGACAGATGGATGTCAACTACAACATCAACCTAGTTCAGATGTCAAAATAAACACAAGTGTATTACTGCCTCCAACTGTGGAGGCAGAGCACAACCGTCATGGCTAGTAGCCATGGATTGCCCTATTCTCCATGAATTTCCCTGCCCTCTTTTAAAGGCATCCAAGTTGGTGGCCATCACTGACTTCTGTGGGAGTGAGTTACATAGCTTTTTTTTATCTGTTCTGAATCTTCCAACATTCAGCTTCATTGGATGTCCACAGGTTCTAATGTTGAGAAACCTTCTTCATAGGGGAGTTGCTCCATCCCCTTGATCATTTTGACTGACCCTTTTTAAAGCTTTTCTAACTCTACAATTTCCTTTTCAAGGTTTCTTTTAGGCATCAAATTTAGTGTCATCACAATGTTTTAGCAATCATATGCATGGGTAAACGAGAATGTTTTTAAATTCCTCCTTATAGTCAATAATGAGACGGCAGACAGACAGGCACACTTCACTGTATATATTGGGAAAGAAGTAAATATCCCAGCAGCTTGAAACCTAGGCTTGATAGTGGTTGAGGCACTAACCACAGGGTTCTGGATGGAATACGACAATTGCAAACTTCTTCAGCAATGTGCCACTAGCAAAGGGAGTAAGTAAGAAATTTTTACTCTGGTTGCCACATTGGAAATCCCATCAGAAGCAGGACCGTGATTCTTCTTGGTTCAACACATAACAATGCAGGAATCTCAGACCACAATTCAAAATCTGAATTCCAAGCCAGAGTTCATTTTTATTATATTAAAACTACAACTAGTACGGACACCTGTGACCAAATGATCTCCACATCTATAGGATGTGGAGTGATGCAGATACGAAATATGATTGCGCATAGGCTGCTCAGGTAGCTTGCACTATAGTCTGTGAGATTTGTTATTCCAGGAATTCACAACACATTATTATTTTTGGGTAACTGTTATATGTATGTTACTGGCACAATATATATTTAAGTTTTAAAGTAAGTGGAGTCAGTCAGACCACACTTATTTTTTTGTGTATGTTGTGGTACTTTACATTGTGGGGTGTAGTTGACCTTACAGAGTTATTTTCTGTAAATAGGCACTCCTGAGCACGAGAGTCCTGGCCCGCCTTTTGAGACAACATCACTTTTTTGGGCTTGGGGGTTCATTCTGTTTCTGCCTCTGAAGGCAGCCACTCCTAAGGGCTTCTTCCTGGACCATTGGCTTGGGATGCTGCTGGTTTGGAGGACTCCAGCTCCTCTTCTGAGGATTGATCCCCAGTGATATTAGCAACAGTGAACAATTTCCCACAAAGCATATCTTGCCCACCATTGCCAATCACCATATAAACTGTGGCCAAAGCAAAAGAGGATATGCATTTTAACTTGAATATGGTGAAATAGGGCTACAGGATTTTTATGGTGTGCATCTCCACAAATGAAGGTTGGCCTATAATATTTTTACCAACAATTTAACAATAAACAAGTCACACAAGTAAACCATGCTGAGGTGCACCCATAATTGTGAGGCCCGAGGAGATTATAATGATGCATCCCCAGTTGCTGCCATTGGCTACAGACTGCCTGTGACATCAGAAAAGTACATGGCAGCTGAGTGGATATAAAGGTGGGCCTTTCTATCTTTCTTCAACAGAACGCAGCAGGAAACAACTGACATTC